GTTTTGCCATCTAATATTAGTGCCATAAAGCTTGTCAGTTTACTAAATAGCTATTTAAATGGTAATTCTATTGATGGTTTCCAAATAATATTTTTATCATCCTTCGAAGAGTTTCCATAGCTATATGCCTCGTGCATCATTAAATCAATATTTGCTGACTTTATTTGTTCCGTGACTGTTTTATTTAAAATTGGTTAATAGATGTGATGTTTAGATAGATGAAAAGATTTCCCCAACCGCATCCAAAAGCAACCTGCCATCCCATGGAACAGTTGGGCTATTGAAGCACTCGATTAATAAGAGGGATGGAGTCAGTAATAATGACCTTTTGGAATGTTCTCTGGGTATTATTCTAAGTGAATATGTCTTGAGTTCAGGAATATTATAAAAATTGGTAATGATTTTCATTTATTATTCTTGACTCCATTGTATGCCCTAATTAATGTGAATTATTTTGTAATTGTTGCCTCCAATTGATGTTGTCAATTCCATTTTTAAATATGAGCTCTTTACAATTGTACATTTGCATTTAGAGGAACCTCTATATCTATTGTATACCTCATCAGTCTCTCATCACAATAGCAATAGGAAATGCAGGGACAACCTTGATTGAGTATATGAACTTGAAGGCCTCTACTACTCCATAGACATGAGGTCCGTGAAGATGGAGTAGCTTAATAAGTAGTAAAAATCCACTCCTAGATGGCTAGTTATGGAGTACGTTTAGATTACCAATCTCATGGACACTAGATCTTGCTATGAATTGAAACTTAATCCATAATTTCGTGAGCAGTAAGCAAGTAGAAGTCAGAAAAATGCTTCTAGATGGCCGATTATGTAGTATGTTTAGATTACCAAACTCTTGGACATTATATCTTGTTATAAACTGAAACTTAATCCCTATACCTTGAGCAATAATAGCAAGCAGGAGTCAAAAAACACAAAGGAAAACACATTAATAGTGATTCATCCTCAATGTGAAAACTACATCAACTAGCCTTGCAGGTCTTCACTAAAAATTAAGAAGTTCACAATATAGGCATTTCGCATCTCTCAGTCTGTGTGTCTCTGTGTTAAAATGTCTCCCCTCTAATTTCTTTTATATAATTATAGTATTAAATTAACCTAAAACAAAATTTGAATGCCAAATATACGCTTGTAATAAAAATGTTCATGGTTGAGTGGATAAGTGAACACTATAGTTGGGCTCCATGTTGTCCAACGTTTCTCTGTTATCGAATTGTTTATGGTGTTTTGGATGACATTAATGAATTTTTACCAGATTTTCTCTTTTGGCCTTTTATCTGCAAAGTGGTACTGACAATGTCAATATTTATTCATTATTGTTCTCAACAGGATGTCCAAGCTAACAGCATCCTCCTTGACGATAAATATGAAGTACGGTTTGGAGCTTGAGTGAGGTTTGCCTTCAAGAAGGAGACACTCATCAAAATAGGTTCACAAAGTTGCTGTGACTGCCACATTGAGTATTTATATCACATCACACATACTGACCTTTTTTGTGGATGTACTCGTTCTAGCTTTTCAAGTGCTAGCTTGAAAAGATCACAATGAGTCACTATACCCGAGTGTATGACAAGGGAAATAAATATTCAATAGCAATTATTTATTCTGGTATACATTTGTAAAGGCAGTTTAGCTACTAACAAGAATGATGATGTTGACGTTATAAAGTTTATCTGTTTCGAGTCTCTGGGCCTCCCATTAGCATCAGCTAAATTCAGATTTATAGAGGTTAATACTATCTTTGGGCTTTGTGATTCATGTTAAGTTATTGTTGTACAGTTCATTCCAATTGCTCGGTTGAGGTTGTGACAAATTTATTTGTTGTATTCCGGACATCAGACCATGGTACTTCAGGTGTGTGCAGTCTCTTTTATTATAGTTCTGTTTCCGTCATTATTACTTCTTGTCTGCATATTCTACTACGTAAATGATGCCAGCTAGATGCTTCTTTATAGTGTTTGTTCTTATCACCCAGTTGATTGCAATGGATATGGGGTCTGAAGGGAACTAACATCTATGGGCAGTTTGGTTAAATTATATACTGTGATATAGAAGGCCATTAAATACTTTTCCTTACCAAGCCATTGCTAAAACCTAGATTGCAAGGAATTTTTAAACAATAACGTTTCCATTTCATGCACATTTCAGAAACTGAAACACTTCAGAAACTCTTAAGAAATGTTTTGGACACTCAAAAAGGGTTTCCTCATTTTTTCCCCCATATTCTTTTAAAAAAAAAAAAAAATCATTTCTCACATTTTCCTCTACCTTTTACGTATTTTTTAACCACATATTTTTCAAAGAAATTACTTTTCACGAGATCACTTCTCAAAAAATCAACTTCACACAGGGCTAATTAGAATACATGAACAAGCATCCTGAATTGAAAGAGTACACGAATTGAATTTTTAGCCCTTGTTTGTCTATTGTTTATATTTGGTTTGTAAACAACCCTTTTTAGCCACATATTTCGTGGACCCATACATACTATCCACTTATCCTCATTCATTTCTATCTATTTAAAATTTAAATTGTTTATAAACAACTTCAAAACATGCTTTAAGCTAGAAATATAGTCAGTTGAACTTGGCTTTTATTCATATCTATTTCTCCTCTAATGTGTTCATTGCTAGATTTTATTAATTGCCAGTCTTGGACAAATGTGTAATATAATTTCCTCTAGAGGATCGTGGAATGCTGCTTTATTTGGCAGCTGGCGGCACAGCTCTTCCAACGTGGTGGCCATGCCAGCCACTTCTAATGAAGTGGAAGGAATGAGTAGTTTTTAACAGTCCGGAACAACGGGTTCCCAGGGAAGTCGTCAAAACGGTGATGGGAACAGTCTTTCGTCCTCAGCCAGACGAATACTAAGGAGATTTTCCTCGACTTATGGATGCACGAGATACATAGAGAGCTCATGAGGAGTGAATGGAAGGTGATTTTTTTCTCAATTCTTCGTCAATAACAGAGCAGTCTCCGAATTGGGATTTTCTTGTTTGTTGTTTCCGTGTACCTTGTCCTCCATTTTTGGAGTTCTTCCGTTGCAAGTCAGTTTTGTTCTTAAAAGTTGCACATTGCTTGATTTTAGCTAGGGACAGTTCTTCTGGTGGTATTTTTAGTGGTTAAAACAAGCTACTAGTTTTATTTTATTTTTCTGTAATTGATCTTTATAATTGGTTCTATTATAAATTGTAAATTTATGATATTGACTATGCTTCGTTTAGAGGTGGAACAAGAAAAGAACAAGCAAGACTACACATTGTTTTCTTGATTTAAATTGATTTATTGGTTAGAATGAAAATGGGAGGTCCTCCGGTCTCTGTTTTTGTGCCCAATGTTTATGGATTTGATAAGTTGAATTAGGTGCCGGTATGTGGGATAAGATCCCAGGAGTTCTTGGAATCATATTAGCCGAGAAGCATTCCACATTCTTCACTGCGTTAAAAAGAAATGTTCTACTTCTGGCGATGAAGATTTGGCCCTAATGCTCGTCTTTCTCGTCTTTGGGTGGATGATGGTGACTCAATGGG